GGAGAAACAGAGACAGAGGGAGGTGACTCACTGAAGACCAGATGAATGACAGAGCTGGGAATAGAGTCAGGGTCCCCCAGCTCACAGCTCTGTTACCAGCTCACTGGGCTGTGCAATCACATTACACTTAGTTTACAGCTGGGTCAGTCAAAGCACCGGGAAGTTAAGGGCCTGGGCTTGATGAGGACCGAGTGCCCAAAACTCTGGTTGAACCTGTTGGAAATGTTGAACATGCACTGTGCAGAAAATTCAACACTGTGCATCATAGGCACAGAATCGAAGTTCTTCCATCGTGTCAGGATGTGGCCTGGGCAGAGTCACAGGCTTCTCAGTTCAGCTGCTGGGGTTGCAGCCGTGCTGCTGTGCAGGGGAGCAGTGGCTGCAGGCAGCCAAATTCAGGTAGAGAAAGGCACTGGTGGTGGCAATTTTTGACTGCCTTCTCTGAAAAGCTGGATGCAGTTCCTCCTACCATTCTAATGCTGTTGATGCTCATTCCTGAAAACATTTTTTTTTCTGAATAAGCCATGAAAGTTTGTGGAGTCTGGATTTGAATGTATCTAATGAGAAGAAATAAAACCTAGAAGAGAGAGAGGGAGTTGCAAGGTAGTCCTCAGTGGCCTTCGTCTGTGAGTGATGATTATGTAGCTGCATCTAAAATGTATTTCCCACCCCCATTCAATTAACAAGTCAGTGTTTTAATGGACAGAGCCAACAGCTGCAAAAAATCCATCCCCCAGAGAGAGGGATTCCAGCACCTGAGAGCAGTCTGCAAAGCCTAGCGATACCATTGCTCATTAGGAAAGAAGGAGAAATGTCCTCATGGGAGCATCCTACTGCTGTAAGGAGCTGCCTCCAGAGGATTTGAGGTGGGCGACTGAAAAGAGAATGAGTTTAAGCCCACACTAGCAGCTTAGTTTTGCAAAGCAGTGATGCTCTAGCCTTAATCCAGTGAAGCCTGTATTTAAATGCATAGAAAGGAAGATGAAGAAAGTGTCATGTATTTCTTCCCCCACCTCCTTCCCTCTTCCATCATGGTTAACACTTAAGAATTAACTAAATATTCCCTAAAAGGCTTATTTCAATTCAGAGCTACTGAATTCCCTTCCCTTGGCTATGTCCTTCTAGACCAAATTTATTCTTTGGTAGCCTAAAATGTGGTTTTCAGTGATAGAGGCTGTGACAGTGGGATATATATAGGGTATGTCTGGTCCCGTGTACAGGCGAGCTCTCAGCCTTTTTAGGCAAGTCTGTCTTCAGGCATAGCTCTAGAAACTATAAGCAAGAAGATGCATTTTACCAAATAACTTGAATTTATAAATGTTATTCATCTTGCAAAGATCCTGGTGTATATGGATCGACAAAAGATGGATGTGTCCAGCCAGGAGTACCCAGGACCATGCATGGTTTTCATAGAGCTCTGAGACCACTTCTGACTAGAGACTGATTAAACGGAAAGTCTTCACAAATAACAGCACCAGACAGAAAAGCACTGGAGTTTCTCACACACATAGAGGTGGGACTGTGGGGTATGAGAGTGATGCAAGCACTGAGGATGCTGGTGATGACCTTTCTGCAGTTTCTTGGTAGGGTTTGTGACATCTGGCCTCAGTTTCCTCCAGGTTTTTTGACTGAATGGGCACAGGGATCTGGCTGAGAGCCCCACTTCAGTCTGAACTCATCTGTGAAAGCCAGATGTTTGCCTTTGTAATTGCCACTGAATCTCGTGCCTCCAGCTCACAATCCAGGGAACGCTTCTCACTCTGTAAGGGTGGAACGTGAGAGTTAATCAAGCTATTTCAACTTTGTCAGAAACAGGGCTGATCAAATGTGTTTCTGTCAACAGCTGCCTTTTTCAATTATGCAGAGAAAACAAGAGAGGGATCGTGTGCACTGCAGTATAGTCTTGTAATGATCTGAGAGGTTGCAATGGCTTGCAAACTGAGAAAAAGTGCAAGGGAGAGATGCTGAAGTGGTACCAGTAATGAGTGCTACAGCAGAATCCATTACAGATAAGAAATAGCAGCACTTCAGCAAATGAACCTTTTCAAGGGTACCCAATAGTTCCTGCCATAGGTTAGACTGTGTTCTGCAATGTCAGGATATGCATTAGGCCCAGGAGCAAAGAATTGGTTTATTTAACCATACCTTGGCCGTTTTTTTGAAGCCTTTTTAACTTCCTGCTGTAGAAATGGTGAACTGCTGATGAGAAAAAGGACCTGATGTGATAACACTGTTCCAGCAGCCACCTGCTGCTACCAGTGGGATCCACCAATACACGAGTAAAAATATGTGTTCATTTTCCCAGCCAGGGCAGATTTCCACGTTTGTGGAAAACTGGCCCATGAATATGTTTCTCAGATGTCGTGGGCAAATACCTTGGAATAGCTTTTTGTACAAATTGAAGAAACATGCAGGTATCTGGGACAAGAGAGACTTCATAGTGACAGTATAACATTAGTGCATTACAAAGGAAACTGTTTAAAATAGGTTTTACGCCTTTACCATCATTGTTTCTGTAGGGCATTTTCATGGTGTGCATATATATATATAAGCTTGGGCCATAGATAGAACATTATTCTACTAGAAAATAGAAAATTGGCATAAACTAGAATTTTCCTAATGTATTTTTACAATAGCACTGTTAGGAATGATGTATTTGCCAGATGGCCCAAAATCACATCCCTTTCAATGGAAGAGGGAGCACAGCTCATTCAGGTCAGCTCCAAAAGTGTTTAGTTTCTCAAATTATTTTACAGTTTTTCTGATTCAGCAGTCTGGTTTATTGGGATCCCACTGAACTGGTGAATAATCCACAGAATACTATACCCACTAGTGACCCAAATTCTTTACCTAAGTCTACAGCCTAATAACAGAGAATTCAGGGCTGGGGTTGCCACTGGTGATAATTTCAGAAGAAACCCGTTTCCCCCAAGACTAATTTCACAATCCCTACCTTAGAGCAGAGTGCATTCACAAAAAAAATATTGATTCTTCCATGCCATGTTTCATTTAACTCAAGATTGCACAGTCACCTATCTGAAAAGTTCATCAATTTTTGTTCAGATTATTTCTATCTGTTTTATAGAATAAAAAGAGGCAGAAACATTCAGGTAACTTCACAAGAGCTTTCTGCTCCCACGTTTTGTCCTGAAATGAATGAAGAAGATTGTATGTTCCTTTAGGGTCTCTTGCTGGGATTTCCTTTCTTGTCCCTAAAGAGAATTCAGGATGGTGAATGCCAAAATCTTGGCTGCATCTGT